TGAAGGCACAGAGCCACTGGAGTTGGTACAGGCAGGATTTCACCCAGAACACCTTCACTGAAGAACTCAGTCTGTGAACTAAATGAGCATTCCTCAAATGCAGGCTGTAATAATACCTTTTTATAATAGTCCCTATAAATTAGTCCCTTGATTGATATAAAAATACCACAAATATTACTGAAAGCTATGAAAACTAACCTGCTGTTACCAGTTATGCAAGAGTTGAAAATCTATGGTGGAATAAAGTTACTCTTTTACCTTAAGCTGTTTTCTGAACAGTACAGTGGTAATTTGGAGTGACGTCCCTCTTAAGTTATGCTCTCTAACTCACAGGACTGTTTTTCAATTGCAAGTAGCCATTTACTTTTGGATGCTTTAAAGATCACTACAACTCTGCAGCCAGGGAAGACCCCTGCATAGCCAGAGAAACATCTCTAGGTCACGCTCCAGTACATATTTTCTAATTAGGACAGTACCCAGCTCTGTAGGCAGCCATGGGGACAGGGCTTGACGTGTCTCCAGACTGCACACATCATCTGTGCAAACAGCTTGGGACTGCTGGGAACTTGCAGGGTTGCCCTTAAGAAAATTTTAAATAAGAACGATCAGGAAAAGAATGTTCTTGTTTTCCTTCATAGCCCTGAAGCCACCAAGACATTTTAAATATGTTTTTCTGTCCTCAGATTTTATACTAGACTGGAGCTTCTCATTTGACCCATGACGTGCCCCTCAGTGGTGCTCACAAACCCACAAACAAGGCATGAAACCTCTGAGCTCCAGCAACAATGTGTGTGAATGTGACAAGGAAGGGTGTTAGTGTAGTACAATGACACCCAGGCTAAATGGCCATAGAAAAATTGGGATATCAGGCTAGTAGATACTTGAGCTCTGACAGGGACTGTGCCAGGAGAACCATTCTTCTGCTCCACCAAGCTGTGCAAGAGCTGTGGCATTCTGGTCCAACAGAAATAATTGTTGACACGTTCAGCCTTGTGTGTAAGCCCTTCTGTACACACTATGAAAAAACCCAGTAAATATCACAGTGGAAGGAAATAGAAAGAATGGTTGTGAGTCAGAATCACTGAGGGAGAGACACAGGTCTGGCAGACCTTCAGAAAGGTGAAAGACCCAGGTCCCAAACGGATGCTGTAGCTATGTGTGCTGTACCTTTCACCCTGGCTGCACCTGGAAATCAGGTGAGTTGAGCATAAGGTATCTGAGAAATTCGTCCTGCTTTATTTCTTGGAAACAATTTACAAGTTCTGGATTGGGATCCCAATCATTATGAAAGGTTTCTTTATTTGCTAGAAATGTGTATAAGCAGTTTGCCATCTGTAGGGTATTTCGAAACTATCTGCCTTGAGGATTCACTACTAAGCATGTGGGAGAGGGAAGTTACACAGTAGCATCTGTGCTTCCTGACTAGATGGCTGAAGTCATTAATAACGCAGGATGACAACTAGCAAATAATGAATAATGGATAACAATTCTCTCGTTCACCTACAGATAGTCTTCCCTGATGACCAGGTGTGTGTGTGTACAGACACCGTTCCCTGCAACCATGCCAGGCTTGTGCTACCATTCCTGAATACAGAAAAAGCATGTCTATAACTAAGACTGTTCAAAATTTAAAGGAAAGATTACAGATGTACTTATTTTTCTTTCCTCAACATGTAACTAGAACTTACTGTCCTGTTTCTTCTCAAGCTCCAAAACTGAAATGCCTCAGCTCGCCTCCTATTTTTTTAGTGTCCAATGCAGTGACTTGGCTGATCAAAATACAGAAAAACATTGATAGGAGCTAGAGTCTCTTCCTCTCTGCCTGAAATCAGCTATCTGCTGGGACATAGCCCAGCATAATCTTGAGGATCTTTGGTTGTTGCACACTGCCCCCAAAAGCTTGAACGAGAACGAGCATCGGAAGGGAAGAGGCTTTGTTGACTTGTTTGTCACTCAGAGAGATACCAGGCGCCTAAGTGGCAGCTGATCCACAAAGTTACCTGTTCAGGACAGTCCTCTCACACGGATGGATGAGGTTTTGATACAAGGAATAAAATAAGATTGCCCACCTAGAGAAATACCAAGAAGCTCATATTTAAAATTACATCTAAAATTTTTTAAACTTGCATGTTTTCTTCCGTATGAGGTACTTCTTACACTCACACGGCAGAGCCATGGCAGTGAGCCCACACTAATGCCAGGCTGTGCTGTGTGAGCACCATCACTAGGTTCAATCACAAAACCAGGACTGCTGTGTCTAAGACCGCCGGTAGAGCTCGTGCGCCTTATTCAGGGCTTCATGGAGACACCTCCCTATCTCTGTTCCTGATTTGCCATTATGAGAAGCACTTATCTTTCCTTTTCTCAAAATACCTAAATTGGGGGGTGAAACTTCTATTTTCTAGCCCTGCCTGCGGCAGGGGAGGGGGGTGGTTGTGCCTCCCTCTCTGTGTGACCATCTGGTGGTCAGAGCACCCAACTCTGGCATGGGAGCTCTTGGCTCACTTCTCAGCCTGCTCAGGATGAATCCAACACACCAGGAAAGAGTTAGGGAATCACCAAACCAAAAGAACAAGTGCATGAGAGCGCAAAAATAAAAGAGATGGTGCAACGTCCTGTTCATGGGTTATTCAGGGAAGAGCCCGTCTGTGCTGATGGCTTTTGAGGTACTGAACATCAATCAGTCATTCAGTAAAAGACATAACTATGCCTAGAAATGACACTCAGAAACCTTACTTCTTTCCTTGTGGGCAAGTTACTTAATTGTTAAGCTGAATTCATCATAAACTGTATTCAGGTTCCCACTTGTTTCTCTTGCTCTCCTTTGAACATTCATTGAACTGGTGCAAAGTGAAATGGCATCAGAAAGAGAAATGGCACCCCTCTAAATGTTGGCTGTAACCTCATGGAGAAGATAACCCCCGCTGGAGGGTTAGCTGGAGATGATGTATCTTTATAGCATGGGGGAACAGAAAAAAAATCAGCCCATGTCTTTCAAATTCTTTCCTCCTGGGGAGGGCTCTTAGCACTCGACCTTTGTTTTAAGGAATACAAAAAGGGGAAAGGTAAGGTGGAAGGAGAGTGTTTAAACGAAATCCCGTACAATTTTTTTTGCAGTGAGCTGCTGTTTGCGCCAGCATCCAACACCAGTGCAGACGCTGAGTCCTTTAAGCATCCCTAGGGGAATATACCTTCCAATCAAATGCCAGACTTTGGCCTCACCCTGAGGAAAGTGCTGAGTTTCTCGGCATTGGCAAGGTGGTGATTCTAGGTGTGTGGGAAAGTGGAAGTATAGGTGCGTCGGGAACTTCAGTTGTGAAGTGATCAGTGTCATTGGACTTCACACACCCGGACACCTGGAGGGCTAGCTGGACTTTAAGGGTCACACTCTTGGTTTCAATTATTTTATATCCATATGAATTAGACACGAAGTGGTGAAATCCCTTTGTGGATCTGAATCAAAACAATTTCAAAAAGTAACAAAAGAAAGATGTAGAATATGAGGGGATAAAAACTGGATTTACTGACTCCTGATCAAGCACCCTAACTCCTAAAGCAGATTACTTACAAAATGTTTATTTCAGGGTTTGCTCAGGTAATCCAGCAATGCTAAATATGTATTGATCATTTATTTTGGCTGTCTGAAAAGGTTCCATTAATTTGTTAATGAGTTCTGAACTGTGTTAGTGCTAAATCACTCAACCATCATGTGGCTAACGTAGAATCACAGTCCAGCCTTTGTATCGGGGCAATTGTCATAAAATGCTCTGCAGATGAGGAAAGACTGGGAGCCCTCATTACCAAGAGGTCAGGCTGTATTTCACATTCTTTTAACATTTGATATTTTTATCCTTAATTCACATACTTTTTTTTTTTTTTTACTGATAAATTAATTCCCATAGGAAAAAAAAGCCCAACCACAATTTCCCACATGAAAGTAACACCTGCAGCCCACACCACCATCCTTTTACAAAACTAGCACTGGATAACATGCTTTTAAGAGTAATGACATTCTCTAAAATACTGCTTGGACGATCAGCAGCAACACAAACTTCAGGTGAGACCAATTACATTTTATATCACTCTGAACCCTACACTAAAAGCCAATAGGCAAACTCCACTCTTTCAGACTTCTGCAGGTTTTCCAGCACCTTTTCATCCAACCTTCGGTTAAGGGTCAAAGTCACTGCTCGCTCTGACTTCCCTGTAATTGTCTTCAACCCTTCAGCAGATTCTCCCTTTCCAAGGTATTTATTTGTGCCTTCTTTTATATCTATTGGGCCACAAATGTTTCAGGAATGGGGACTCCTTAACTACGCATTGGTACATCAACAGGCCCACTTACACAGTGAAATAAATTATTTAGTACTAATTAAAAATAATCACATGGTTCTTCCACTCTACCATTTTGTGTTCTAAGGTGCCACCACCATACTGTGATAATTTGGCTGGTCTTTTGGATTTTTTTTCTCCTAAAAAAGGTGAAAAGATTCTGTCAAAGACCATTACTAACTTTTTAAGGGAATTTGCTGTTTCTTCATAAAACTGAGACATATTGTTATGTTATTACAAACAGTGATCAGGAATTACTTTCTAATCAATTATTGTTGATGGGGATGGTTTTAGATGTAGTTGATCATGCCTTGACATTTGGGGGTGGAAGAAGATCTTTCCTCCATATTTTCTAAGATTTAATTGCATTTCTCTAGACACAGTATTGATGGTCTCAGGGAGTGGCTTTAAGACACAAGGTATGTTGCTGTGTTGTTGGCAAGGCATCAGTGACTCCTGTTCCACACACAGTCTGTGCTCTGGTTTCTGCTATTGCTACAACTCCACTGCTTATTGGTGCATCTCTAAAAGCAGACATTTAAGTCAGTATGCAAATGTGTGGGTTTTTTCCCCCCATTTGGCATTATGTAGCACTGGGAGAGGCTCATTTTTCAAATATACGTTTCCTGGAATAATGTCATTCACTCTGGTAGGAACAGCAGCTCCGTAACTGTATTGGCATGGCTAAAGCAGCACAAGTTAGACAGCTGCCTAAAGCCTATCGACTGCATTTAGATGCTGTAAGGGTGATACGGTGATTTGTGATCATACTTATCATCATCACTTGCCAAACATGGTGCCTATGTAGGTATGATAATCATTCAAAGACTGGTAGATAAAACAGCTCATTCAATTCTTACTCCACCAGTTTGGTTGGAGGACCCTTTGTGAATAAACTATAATGATTTCATTACTTAGTAGTCACACTCATGAATGCAACCTATGCAAACATTTGGAGATACACAGAAAAGCTTTCTAAACTGAATAGCAATTTTATTGTGAAGAATATACCACAGGACCGATGTTTCCTTTGGGGGGAAAAAAAAAAAAAGTGATGCCTATATCCCGGTCCTTTTTTATTTTTATATCTTTGGTTTCCTGATATCTGGTTTTGGACTTCTTTTTCAGATGGATCTGGTCAATACCATCGGTGAAAGTGCGGCTTTGGGAGCAGCTGGAGTTGTTCTCTGGGGCAGTATGCAATACGCCAGCTCAAAGGTAGGTTGTTTTGGTTTATTACTATTAACGAACCACCTCAGTACCTCTTCTCTGCCACCACACCCTCCCTAGCACCTATCTATCTTTATCAATGTCGTCAGCCAGAAACTGAGGATGATGGCTCAGTACTACTTTCTGGTCTCATTAGTTCTATACTTTTGTAAGGCTGAGAAGTCCCATTGCTTCAGAGCACATTGCTTTGGGCAGGTCGTTTGTAGCGTCGTGGAATAATGAGTCCAGGTGAGAAGAAAGACAGGTTTTGAAGTAATGACATACAAATATGAGCACAGCTTGTTTTGCAGTGTTCTACTTTGTAGCTATGGCGGTTTATACACCTCCACAGAGAAGGAATACAGTCTGGAGGGGGGTGGTATTTTCTCTGGTCACTAGTCTTGAAATGACACATGGGAAATAATGTTGCCACAAGAAAAGGCCTAGCCCTCCCAGGTTCTTCAGGCTTTTACAAATAACCCTTCTTGAAGTGATGGAGGAGGCAGGAGGCTGCACTGGGGTTTCACGGGAGGCAGGGCAGGCTTGTCCCCGCTCCCAAACCTGGGCTGGGCTTTGGTGCCCACTCTGCTTTTCATGCAGTCTGCTCTCCTCCTCCTGAAATCTCCGGCAAAGCATCACAGATTTGGGCAGAGGAAGAGGGAAATCTGAGCTGGATCTTTATAGCCGCAATTGCGGCAACCTCTGTGCTGGTTTCTGAAAGGGATGTGGCTCCCTGTAAACTGAAGGAGTTGCAGAGATCAGGCCCACAGAGTTGACTTACTGTGTGCCTTAAAACCTACTAGTCCCATGCGCTGCTCCTTGTCAGCAGTTACCAGCAGTTACTTAAGGAACTAGTTAGTCTCATATTAGCATATAAACTCTTTTTCTGTTTACTAGGACTCTTCCCTAGTCCAATACTATAAGTTGCTTCCAAGCACCCAAACAGACAATATGGTAAAGGTTAGTATTTGGCTAATCTTACCCTTGGAAGTAAGCTCTCTTAAACCAATAGATTACTCAGTATATAAATCCAGCAAGATTGATCTCAACAGGTTACTTTAGCCAAGAACAGTTTTGTACTAACATCTTCTTAGATATAAGAAATTTGCAGGTAATGCTAGCTACTGAGAAATGTGTCATGGTCTTTTATTATGTACAGGAGAGTTGTTCAACTGTGAAAAGGTACATTGATGGACCCTTAGGACATTACGTCATCAACGTGACCTCAGCAGCCAAACTCTGTAGCAAAGTCCTGTGCAAGAAGAATGGAAGATGTATCCGCAAGAACAGCGACTCTTCTGCTTACCTCCATTTGTCACCTACTAACTTTAAGATCCGATCCCGTCACTCAGGGAGGGGCCCCAGGTTCCAGGTGACTGGTGAACCCAGCCTGGAGAGCATTGAAGCCATGAGGCAGAGATTCATGTGTCAGTGTTACCAGGGCTGGACAGGAATATTTTGTGAAGTGCCTGACCAAAGGCTAATGGAACGCTGGGTTCACATTCTGTTCAGTAGATCAAGAAAACAGCAGTTTTATGTCTTCCTCTTAGGGGCCATGCAGCTTCTTCTGCTTTATACTGCACACTAGCGTCTTCTGAGGCAGTGCAAGGAAATAAGAAATGGTGCCACTAAGACTTCTGCTCCTTAGCAAGTTTTTATTATGAAGGGAATTACCATTCTATGATTCTGTGAAAAGGCATTGTTGATTAAATACTTTAATTCTGTTTTCTTCATTTTCCACTCCTGGAATTGCTTCAGACATTAAAGATTTTGAAAGCAGCCCCCTCTTTTTTACCAGCTCCTTTACTCTTAACTCATGTTTTACTCATACGTTCAACAGATAAAGCTTCTGCAGCAACAGTGGAAAATTTACTTGAGTAAACGAATAAACCTGTACAACGATTCATCCATGTAGAAGGTTAAAAAACAGCACAGAGCCTCTTTGTTTTGGGGATGGATGATTTAATATATGGCAATAAGGAAAGTTTTCATGTTGACCAGAGATTGCAAACTGTTTACTGCAGCTTTTGCTGAAGTCAAATGGCATTTTCTGTGAGCAGCAGCACTGTGCCCAGATCTGCATTCACTGCAACTCACTGACCCCACTGCTTCTGCATAGGCAATCTGAAGACTGTAGAGTTATACATCAGTGCATGCTTTAAAAAAAAAAAGCATATTTCGGTATTTCAAGGCCTAATTTTATTCATTTTACTTCTGGAGGTATCAGTATTTCCAGTGGCAGTTTTGTGCCATCAGTTCCAAAGGTACTGTTTGACTGAAAATCTCTGCAATTGCCGGTCAATGGGTCATTTTCCCAGAGTGTCAGCCAACCAGCAAAATGTATATACGTTTAGGTGAGTGACTTGTGAGCTCTGAGAGCGGTGCTGGCAGCTGTCACCCCACAGTGGTCCTCCTCAGGCAGGTGATGGGAGAGGGCTTCTCGTCTTGCTCCAACCCCTTGGGAAGCAGGCAGCCTTGCTGGTTGGCATCATGGCTGCTTTTGGAGCCATTGAGGGTCTTTGCTTTCTGCTCTGCTAACTATACAGCTCTGGTAGCTCTGCTCTCCTACTCGTCCTGCACAGTCACCCAACCAAGCTGGCTGGTCAGCGGCTGGGAAACCGGAGCAGGCTGACAGACCCCACTGCCAACATGCACCTCCCTCATGCAGGGAGGAGAAGATGAAGAACTCTAATTACCGTCAAAGTTTTGGCTTGCTTCCTTCAGCTTCAGATGGGGACTGCTTTGGAGGTGATGTAGCTTAAAGAACCACTGATTACTGGTAAATTTAGCAACCATAACACGCCATCCTGTCAGGCTGTGGCATGTCCATTTGCAGTTATTCATTGATCCACATTCATGTGTGAGCATATACATCTCGTCAAAGACTTACCTGTCTTCCACATGGCCTTTCAATGTAACAAACAGTGAATGCCTTCATTGAATTGATGATAAAACCAGGAAATTCCCTACATCTCTCTCTGACTTAGACAAAATTATGGTTTTTTTGAGACTTTCATGTGAAGTGTCGAACTGAGTATCATTCCAGAACATGGACACAGAAATTAGTAAGAAACGCCCATGTTGGTCTAAACCACTTTTTTTTTTACCCTGACTAGTGTCCGTATTGACCATTTGTGGCCAGACTTCACTGCTTACATTATAAAGCATCCTATTACTGTAGCAGTTTGGTTAAAATCAGCAAGGCTGTGTGGAGAGGATACTCAACTGAGTAAGGAAGTCTGAAGCTGGCCCTCAGCCAGACCCCTTTCTTGATGCTGCCCTAAATCCCTTTAAATGTTAACATGTCTCTATGCATTATAATCTGAGGGGATATCCTATGTTCTTTGTAATCTCCTGTCATCCCTGGACATTTTTTCATGGTAACCCCACAAAAAAACCTTTCTTTGGTTCGCCAGGACCAGATTCACAGCTGCTGTGAACTGTGATATTCAGATTCACTCGAGCCAAAGACCCGGATCATAACACACCTGTGGTGGATATGTAAAGGCTGCAATGATCCCTTTAAACCTAGACATGGAAATTGGAGTGAATTCAGTTAAACAGAGCTTTACTGCTAGCTATAGTGAGTCACTCTGTAATGACATGTGCTGAGAAGCTACAGGAGAGTTTTGCCATTGACCTTTTGCTTTGTAGTGCATGATGGCAACGGATGACAGCAAAAGTGAAGGTAAAAAACTTTATTATTTTGGTGTGGCAGAGAGGGATTATAATTAAAGTTTAGAAAAACTGACTGTTGTTAGGAACTATAACTTTACACTGAAGTTAGGGTGTTTACCTTTCCAAAAATTTTTATTGATTACACGTGTTCTGCTTTAGGTCCTTTATTCAGTCCAGAGTTTTCTAAACTTCAAGAGGCTCTTAACACATACTTTAGTATATTTAAAGCATAGAAACTATTAGCCCATTTTTGCTAAAATACCTGTCACCAGTGTAGGTCAATATATAAACTGGATGCTCCTGCTTTGTGTATTGCTGCCTATTGTTCTGAAACCAGAGGTGATGTGAAGATGCTCTAATACCCACACATTGTGCTGGTGAAATGTGTTTTTAAAATCATGTGTGTTGCTTTGTAAAGTATTTCTGCTATTTCTATAGGCTTTTGACAAGAAACTATATAGAGACTTATAACCAGATTTTATTTGGATAGAATAAATTCAATTAAAATGGCATAAGGTCTTCATCAGTTAAAGTTCTGATACTTCATGGAAAGTTTATACAAACAATACAAATGCTGTGGGTGAAGCAGCAGTATTCCTGATTCAGACTGGTGCATACTCTCTACTAGGGTACACTGACAGAGCCCTACTCAAGTCCACTTGAGTGGACTGTCAGCTTATGTCAGGTGTAAACTTGCCCAATGGCTCTTCTTGAGTGAATCATTTTGATTCCCTTAATCCAAGTCTGAACACTGAAATAAAATTCAAATGAATAGGCTTTCTTGCAAAGTCCACCTACCTGGAAGGTATGGGAAATGTGTGGGGTTTTTTTTCCCTACTTCATTGATCCTCCCAAACAGGATCATACGATTACAATCTTGACAATTTATTTCTTTATAAGTGCACTTCTGTCTTTGATGGTACTTTGGATCAAAACAAACTCCACATGTTACTGTAGCACACATAATAAATAGCAAGTAGAGAAAGCTTTGCAAAGTGTATTTTTCATTACAGCCTATTTAATAATGTTGTAGGTCTTGCCTGATCATTCTGGTACACGTAATTTGACAAAGATTTTTTCTTCTGGTCTAGTTGTATGGTCCAGTCTTTGGAAAGACATGATCCAATTTCTGTGTTGGAATTATTTGGAGGAGGGAGAGTCTGAACCAGCAAAGAACTGTGCCACAACCTTCATGTTGATATCCTTAGCTAGAACCAGCTCTTAAAGCATGGCTGATCCTCGGAAGGGGGCACTGGTTTCTGGAGATAATATGAACAAGGATTTACTATATTTCATCTGAACCACCTCTGCTTCAAGATGATAATGGATTCAGACCCCATATCTTTACTCTTCCCAAACGCTGAGCAGTAGAGTTCTCTAATCCTCTGCTTCTCTTCAGAGGATAAACAAAACCAGCAGAAGCACGACTGACAGGCTTCCAGCTTTTCTCAAATTTGCTGATTTAGCATTCCAAAACTTTGCAATTTGGGGAAATTTCCTTTTTATCTCTCACCACTGCTGGGTTTTGCACTTAATATAATGTTGTGTATTCTGAGCAACCCATAAATGTATGGGAAAGCTGGGATTAATTTTTTTTTTTTGACACTGCAGTCTGACAGGTAGATGTGTGGGGCTGCAGTCCCAGTTTGACCAGCTTTAGGTGCCACTGGCATCTGCTTCCCAGTCCCAACTTTTCCCCTCACTCCCATCCTTTTACCACGGTGTGCTGTCCCCTGCTTGTGCTGGCATGGCTGTTCAGGTGCCTTCGCGCTGATCTGGGTTGGGAAACCATGCAGGTCAAAAGTTCCCTCATTAAAAAAAAAAGGTGTCTCCCCCGGATGCTTTTTTCTAAAGTCAGATTGCTTCCTCTATCTGACTCACATCGCGCCGCTCACGCAGTTGAGTCAGGGCTAAGGAAGTGGGTAAAACCCATAGGGAAGCGGTAGCAAAGCCTGTAGGTTGAGTATTGCCACTCAAGACAATACCTCATGAGTAAGCAGCCTTGGCAGCCTCTGCCCTCTTCCGCGCCTCCATGGGCAACAGCGGGCGGCATGTCGGTCCAAGGATGGGGGTTACTGACGTGCCAGGGTGCCTGCTGGACTCCCCTAAAGCTGAAGGCTCCTTGCGGTTACCAGCCTGGACCTTGGTGCCTCACCAGATGTGAAAGGCGGGGCAGGTAAAGCTCGCCTGGAGTGGCCCAACTTGGGAATGTGGATATTTAAGATGTTTTCTGAAGTCCCCTTTGGACACTGAGTCTTTAAGGTGAAAAAAAAGATGAGAAAGGCTCGCTGGCTGAACATAATCATACCAGCATTTTTGTGTTTCACCAGCTTTTTCCAAATGCAACGTTCTCTGCTAGGGTCAGTGGCTTTATAAAAATGGGAGTGACAGTGTTATAATAAAAAGTGCTAACCGCCCTCACAGGCAAAATCAACAGAATGAAATCTCAGACCAGTTTGGATCTGCAACACTGTGCACAAATGCGTATGTATACATTCCTTCTGTTAAAACTCCTTGCTAAGGTAAAAAATGTTGCTTAAATTAAAAATTACTCCAGTTTTGCACTGAAAGCATTTGGTTTAGGTAGTGAATTAAAATTGCGCGTCATGCATAATAATAAGAAAGTTTTTTGCCAAAGAAACTTTGATACGCTTAAGACGCTGTGGCAGCCACAACTTCTTTTTTGTTTACGTTTCAGGAAAAGTAATTTCCTGTCAATCTGGCCAGACTTAGAGAGTAGGAGTATTTGCAAACACAGGTTACTCTAAAAATAAGTAGGAAACGATAGTTCTGTACACTTCGAAGAATGGTACTGGCTGGGAACAGGTCAGCTTCTCAGAGACAAAAGTCCAATCCTTAAAAAAAACCCAAGGAAAACCAATGATGTCACATACTGCTTAATGAGATTAA